GTCTGTAGTGTGTCAATTTGTAAAGTTTTCTCCCGAATTTCAAGGAGCAGTTTGTCGAGATCATTCCATCGAGTGTCGAAATTTGCAACAGTATTTTCAGTCATTGTTAGTCGTTCTCGAACATCAGTAAGTTCTTTTCAGATGGTTTCCTGGCCACTCTGAATTTTCGCGAACATTTTCTCAACGGTAGGGCCTGGGTTCTCTTCCACGTCCCCACAAAGAAGAAGCACACATATACGCAAGCAGTTTTGAACATACAAGACATAAGACCGTGGGCAGGGCAAAATTATCAGCATTGGATCATCGCAGCGAAGTGTCGACACGGTTTCACTAACCTGTGTGGTGAACAAAAATTTCTGGATGAGCGACATGGTTCCCGCTGCCTCGCTGCGCCCACTGGTGAACTGCAGCCACGGTTGATCCTTTATAGGTTGGACCGATGACGTCACAGTCGATGGAAGACCCCAGTGCAGAAGACTGAGGCTGCGCAGCTGTGGTTGTCGGGGCAGCAGCAACGGTTGATAGCCGATGTCTTCGATGTGGTAATCTTCTCGACACGTTGAACCCGTGCACGCGCCTACCTGAGTTGCGCAGGCGTATTCATCCGCTCCAAATACCGGTTTGGCACCGATACTTGCGACGAAAAGGCAGACCTGTGTGGTGAACAAAACTTTCTGGATGAGCGACATGGTTCCCGCTGCCTCGCCGCGCCCCAAATATATAGTGCCGAAGGAGCGCCGTCAACGCTCGGGGCGGTGGCTGTGCTATGTGCTTATTGGCCACTCTGTCTTTTTCTGGGCTCGTGTTACGCGTAAGCTTAGCGAAGGCCGCGTGTAGCTCTGCTTGCGTGAAAGGCTGGTCTAGTGCTTTGTTCGGTGCTCCTCGGTACTCCCTGTGTGTCGAAGTGTTGATGGAGGTAGCTTGTCGGTTAACGAAGCCAGGCAGCTTTGCTTGGAGTTCTTGGAGTAACTGGTGCTCTGTGCCTTCATAGTTCATGGGCCACTGAATTGCATTTCAGTGCAGGGGCCACTGAATTGTATTTCTTTTGTTAGTTTTGATGTGAGTGTCGTCGATCAGGGCTCAAAGTTTTCTTTCTTCTCAATGTCCCTTAAAGTTCGTCGCAGAAGGACCGCCAGTTCTGGCTCGCAAGGTTTTCGGTGTACTCATGTGTCTGTGTGGTGAGTACGGCGATGCGGTGCTTCAGCTTGCGATTGAGCTTTTGCCGTTGATTGATTGATATGTGGGGTTTAACGTCCCAAAACCACTATATGATTATGAGAGACGCCGTAGTGGAGGGCTCCGGAAATTTAGACCACCTGGGGTTCTTTAACGTGCACCCAAATCGGAGCACACGGGCCTACAACATTTCCGCCTCCATCGGAAATGCAGCCGCCGCAGCCGGGATTCGAACCCGCACCCTGCGGGTCAGCAGCCGAGTACCTTAGCCACTAGACCACCGCGGCGGGGTGAGCTTTTGCCGTGTTCATCGTTTAATAAGCGATCTTCGAGCTTCCCATAGGTGAAGGAGATGATTATCGACTGCCGGATTGTCCTCGTTCAAGTGTATCGTTTTGGTATGTTCGTTAGCAACACTTAGAAGACTGTTTAACCAGGCTTCAATGTCTTCGATAGTCAAGTCATCACTAAGGTCATTCCTATGAGCGGTCCAGTCTGTGAGCCGAGCTTTTCCTGTATTGAGTGAGTGGTGAGCCGGTTCAACCTCTATTTGAATGTGATGGTCGCTCCCTAGAGTGTCCGGTAGCCTTGTCCACGTTGCATTGAGCACGTCTCTAGTGTACGTGAAATAAGGATTGGTATCCCTCGTCCCACCGCGGTGGTCTAGTGGCTAAGGTACTCGGCTACTGACCCGCAGGTCGCGGGATCAAATCCCAGCTGCAGTGGCTGCATTTCCGGTGAAGGCGGAAACGTTGTGGGCCCGTGTGCTTAGACTTGGGTGCAGGTTAAAGAACACCAGGTGGCCAAAATTTCCGGAGTTTTCCACTACGGCGTCTCTAGTAATCATATGGTGGTTTTGGGACGTTGATCTCCACATATGAATCAATCAAGGATTAGTATACCCTGACACGCTGTTGCCCATTCGGGTTGGATGAAGCAAGTCATTTCACAGCGTCAGACCGTGTTGCTGTGCAGCATCGCGAACACGCGCCCCCTTCTTGGTTGTGCCCCCTTCTTGGTTCTTGGTTGTGTCCCCAGGCCATGTGTGGAGCATTGAAGTCCCCGACTAAGACGAGTCGGTTGCCATTAACCAATTGACGGAGCCCGTGGACGAAGTGGTCGTATTGGTGTAACTGCTCCCGCGGAGGGCTGTAAAGATTGGTCAGGTATAAGCTCTGTTGAGTCTTCTGAGTGGGGATTATCTCCACAATGGTGTGTTCGATGCCAATGTCTTCAGTTTCATGAGTCTGTGTGGTTAGAGTCTTCTTAACAGGAATTGCGGTGCGGGGTGAGCATGTGAGAGTGCTGTAGCCAGGGAGCTTGATTTTTTTCTGTGGGTTTCCTGCAATACGATCATATCAGGAATATTTGTTTTAACATATTCTTGCAAGTTTGCAGAACGAGGTCTGTAGGATCTGCAATTCCAGTGTGAAATTCGAAGAGTAGGGAGTGGCTCAGACTGTTTATGTGTGAGAGCTGCAATTTTGGCAGTTGATTTCCGCCTGGCGCCGGTCGTTTGGTGCTGTCGATCAAATTTCCGCTGCAGTTTCTTCCACTAAAGTATTTCGCTCTTCCCGCTTGGTTCCTGAATTTGCTCATGGGTAAAGAAATTTTTGTAATCATAAGCTATGAAGTTATGCTGTTGGGTCATGAAACCTTCAAGCTTGGCATCGAGTGTGCTTAAACTACGGGTTCAGTCGGTCTACCTTTTCCATAATTTGAGTAACCACCTTCTCTATGGTTATGTCTATGAATGCGAGAAGTTTCGTGGTGAGGGCTTCCTCGAAAGCTTCAAGACGTCATTCTACGAGGTCGAGCATCTTCGCTTTATGTGCTTGCAGCCTTTCTTTTACCTGCTTCATTATTTTCGCTTCCATCTGTTTTAGTATGATGTAGTCAAGTTCTAGCGTGCCACACTCAGCTGGTGGGCGTTGTTGTATCCTCCGTTGTAGATCTTGGACTTCATTTTCTAGAGCCCCGATGGTCGCTGTCTGAGCAGGCGAGATGGTTGAGGCACTTGTGGTATTTAGAGAATTGGGCCCGTCACTACCGGTCACCGCGGCGGCATAACTGATTCCCCTAACGGAGCGAGACCGTGACGGCGTGCGGGATTCAGAGCGACCTTTTTCCTTAAAGTAAGAGCGACTTCGGTCAGATTTTGGGTGAAAAGAGGGGGCCCATGAAATTTCTGGTGTGATAACCGACCCGGGTAAATTATTGGTGTGAGCACTCCAGCGATTTTCACGGGCGCAGGCGTTATTGAGCTGCTGGCGTCTTACTTGATAAGGAGGGGGGTTGCTGCGGAGTTTCTTCTTGCATTCCTTTCCAACAGTCCTATGGTCTTCTCCGCAGATCTTGCACATCAGTTGCCAGTCGTGTGGTTCTGTGTCTTTGTCGTGGCCGCATTTCTAGCAGAAGTTCATTCACTTTCGGCTGTGGGCAGATGTCTTGCCGGTGACCTATGGCGCCACAGGTTCGGTAATATTGGATGGACTTCCAGTATGGCGTGCAACGGTAGTCTCCTCTGAGGTACGTTACGTAAAAAGGAACGTACTGTCCGTCGAAAGTGATAACTGCAGCTGTGGAAGATATTAGCATGTGCGTGCCAAGCACGTGTTATCTTGGGTCTGCGCGAAGTCCTGCAATTATCTTCGTGGGGCTTCTTCCTGGCTCGAGACCGTAGGTCACTCCGCGGCACATATCATCGGGGTGTCTAATGTGCGGATTTATTTGATAAATTACTCCACCAAACTGTATAGCATTTATACTTTGCAGTTTGGAATGTTGTTCAGTACTGTCCATGCTTGCAATGATCATGTTCTCTACTTTCTGCACCTGTACTCGCACATGGTATTAAAAGTCCTGCTGGGCCACTCCACTGGATCTTCCAATGGCATGTGTGCCCTTTATGAGCGTTCGCTTTGAAAAATCTAGTTCTAGTTGTGGGCGGAATACAATTTCGAAGTCATCAGTAGGAAATGGCCGCATCCTAGTGCTGCGTTGACGCTGCGGTAGAGATTCGGCGTCTGGCCTCACAGGTTGTGTACCTCCTTCTTCGGCTGACTTGTCTTCTTTGGCTGACCTGCCTTTACGGCCAGCTTGTAGCCACTCAATATGGGCTTTGCCTGTTGTTATGCCACTATTTTTATCAAACATCCAGTGTGATGCCGTTCTTGAGTTACCTTCCGTGTTGTACACTTGCATTGTACTTGGGCCCTCTTGACATGGGTTAGACATCTGCGTTTCCATGAGAGCGTTAGCTTTTAACCTCAGACGCTGTGTCTGTGTGTTGCGCGAGCAGCGTGCTCGTGCACCTGCGAGCCGCTGGCGTTCAGCTCGTTTCGCAGGCCCGTCCTCGTGCCACAGCAGCGTGCGCATGCAGCGTGGCCTCTAGATTTCTCGGCGATGTTGCATCCCAGCAAACAGCTACTTTGTGTTTAGAGTTCAATATTTTGTAATACGTATACTCCCTGCGTTGAGTCTGGTGTTAAATGATGCCCTGCAATGTGAGGAATCCCAGGTCACCAAACGCGAGCAGTGTACAGGCAAGGTTGTACAGAAAATCTATTAACAACTTAACAAAAGGTAATTATTAAATCTGAGTGCGCTACTAAAGAAAAGAAATGGACCCCAAAGCGGTTTTTGGCTGTGGCGGTCTTGTGACCACGCTGTATTAACTGACGTCAGTTAACCAAGCTGGATTTAAGGCACGAGCACTTGGTCTCTCAAAGCCACTGCTTGTGAACTGTCCCATTTTTTCGCACATGCTTACATGCTCTACTAGCATTAGAACAGCACTTGCACCTTTAGCATTCTTTTTGCAGACCTGGAAAAGGCCGGCGAAGAGGGAAAGCAAGCAAAGGCGATGCTGGAACGCACCGAGCGTCGCTGGAAGCTTGCTGATTTCGACAACGACGGTGCTTTGGATAAAGCTGAGTTCAAGAGCTTCCTGCACCCCGAAGAAGACGAACGCGTTCGAGATGTCGTGGTCACCGAGGCCACTGAGCTAATGGACACCGACAAGAATGGCATCGTCTCGTTCGATGAGTACATGGAGCACCTGAAGCGCGTCTCTGGACCAGAAAAGGACAAGGACAAGAACTGGGCACCGGTACTGTCTCCCTAAAACCTTGCTTTTTACATGTTCTAGCCGATGTCTGGGGTTTCTGTGCGCTTGTGAAACGCAGGTCCCAAGTTTGCGAGGCAATATTCATTTCTGGCTAACTGACTTGAACAGCACGTTTTCAACTATTAGCTCAACATTAGGCATGGCACAGGCATAACTTTAGATGGGAAAGGTTGTACTGTAATGAAAGCTTTTTGCTCCCGGAGCCTGAGGCCCTGTTCTCTGTTTCTTTGCAGGCGCAGCAGAGCCACTTCAGCACGTACATGGACAAGGACAAGGACGGTGCGTTGAACGAGGCTGAAATGCGCGACTGGGTGCTTCCCAGCCACGACCGTGAGGAGGGCGAGGCGTGGAGGCTCATCTCGGTGGGAGACGTCAACCAGGACACCCGGCTCACCAAGGAAGAAGTGGCCGCGCAGCCCGACTACTTCATGGGCATCCTCCCCCATGAATTCTGGCAGCAGGAGGGACACGCCGGCACTGTCAAGCAGAAGGAAGAACTGTGATTATCATAGTTGGGCCACCCGATGTGATAAGTTACGTGCGTGGATGGTCGGTGGCCAATGGTGGAACTTCACAGACAATTTCGCACTGCTCAGGCAGTATTCAGTCGTTTGGAGAAGGGGGGTGAAGGTACGTGTGTACAAATTGCTGACAGCAACTGAATGGTACCCTCTCAACTGTAATACAACTTGTCGTACCTGTCAAGCAAATCTTTGATAAATTGTTACGGTAAAAGTAAAGCCGTACCTGTCGGTGATGGAAAGTGCAATCGGTGGTTGTTTTTACTGCACCTCAATAGCATTACTTTTGCTATCTATCGAAGCTCCTCTCATGTATTTTTCCCGGTGTATGTTGCATTTACACTGCCCCCTGACAAGAATGTTTTCGTATTTTGTCATCTATAAAAGCAGCGTTATATACATATTCTTCTACTCTCCACAACTTTCAAAATCCAGGATACTGGCTTCGTGTGTACTGCAGTGAAAAAAAACAGGGTCAAAGAAACCCAATAAAGTCTGAAATGCTTGAACGTGCACTGACATTAAATTTCAAGATCGCGATGCGCCCATCATTCAATCACTTGGTATGCGTAGGTCTTCTTGGCCAAACTTGAATGGCGTCAGTCGCGTCGAAGTTATTTTATTTCGACGTCAAACAGCGTGAAAAAGCTAAAGAGATAAATGGAAATAAACTGCCTGGTGACATCGACACTAGTACTACGTGTTTGGGGTGATACATTCCACAAATACCATTCTGAGTGAGGATACGCTGATAACGATGACATCGACGATCTCTCAGTGTGTTCGGAGCCGACTCCCAGCCATGCTCTCACTAGTTGCTCTCCTTGCTGTGTCGAGGCTTGCGTGTGATTCATCTTGTCGCATCGACTAATTTACGATGTGCTCCATTGGGTGTGAGTACGATAATTCAGAGTTACAATACGTGCGAGAATGTCGGGGAACCGCTGCGTAGTGAGAACCTGCACGTCGAGGCGCGGAAAAAGTGGGAAGTGAGAGGCGTTTCATACCTTTCCAAGCCACGAACCTCAACGCAGCGAGCGGGTTGACTCGTACGTGCCGTTGCACAGAGGGACAGGACGCCTGTGGAGAACAGCCGCATTTGCTCACTTCACTCTGTGGCGAGTTGCTACAGGGTAAATCCTGTGTCGGCGAACCAGTTTGGTTTCACTGGCAGTACAAGGCCTCTTCTCAATGCCGGGGATATTTCTACCATGTGCCTTGCTGCAGCTGAAAGCAGCGATTCACTCGCCAAACGTCCGCGACATGAGGTGCGTGGTTTGCGTTCCTGAACTCTGATGGTACGGCTAGGGTTGATAAAAGCAGTGCATTTAACGCGGAGCTTGTCAAGCAAGAATCCTCGCAAAGTGTGGCGATACCAAATTCCAGGCCGCTGTCATCATTTGCTGATGTTGACCATGGCGACCGTGAGGACGACGGTGTTGTAGAAGGCGTAAACATGCGTCCATGCCTTCAAAGACGCAGCTGAACTGAGTGTACGTGCGCTCCTAGCAGACGAAACGCTAGTGTGACGTCACCAATTTTTGTGAAAGCGGCTTCAGCTGTGCAGTGGCCTTGATATGGTGGTGAGGTAGCGCTGCCAGAAGTACAGTTTGACGGTCTTTCCACTCATTTCGAACCACGTTCTATAGCGAATATAATAGTATTACAGATACTCATTCGTCACTCAGATCTGTTTTAGGTCATGAATCGCTACTAGGAGGTTGACAGCTAGTCGTTGACACAAAAATCTTGACATGAGTATATTTGATGCCAGTGAACCTTTAAACAATTTCTGGCCAACTCAACGAGGGAACCAGTCTGTTTGTCATTTGAAACGAATCGATCTGTATAAGGAACTTTGGCAAAACTTGGAAGGTGCCCCGCCACAGTGGTCTAGTGGCTAAGGTACTCAACTGCTCACCCACTGGTCACGGGATCGAATCCCGGCTGAGGCGACTGCATTTCTGGTGGAAGCGGAAATGTTGTATGCCCGTGTGCTTAGATTTAGGTGTCCGTTCAAGAACCCCAGGTAATCGAAATCTCCGGAGCCTTCCAATACGGCGTCTCTCATTCATATGGTTGTTTTGGAACGTTAAGCCCCACATACAAATCAAAACTCAAATGGTGAGAGTGTTGGTACATTGAGTTTTGACAGAGGCCGAGTGACTTCCTACTGGGCTGGGCAGCAGCTTCTCTATTTTACAGAAAACGAGTTTTGTTCTATCCTGTACTGACGTTGCCCTAATAGTGATACGAGTTAGAGTAGCAGTGGAGTAGTAATATGAATAGTAGTAGGCGTCACGCAGTTCACTTCACCAAAGGAGTGTCAGGGCTGTTCAATTGAGAGGGAGATATTACATAAGTGGTTCTTGAAGAAACGAAAAAAAGAAGCTAATTTCTGTCTGCTGAATATGGCAGTACGGCTAAGCTCCTGGTTGAGGAGGGGGAAGCAGATAAAAAAAATGGCCCTGTAATCGCATGTTTCACCGAAAATGTCGTCGAAAGATGATAGTTTTGCGCCTGGAGAGAGTGAATAAAGCGTTTGGTGTTCTGTGAGAGGAATCGGTGGAAAGTATTCTGGAGGCGCTCGTTAGAGTGCCTAGGCGCATGCAGCAGAGGTGAACATGCATCAAGGCACGTGAGACATGAGTGTTATCTGGCCGTTGGAAAATGAAGCGCGTGGTATGGGCGCCCGTCTCGGAGGCGATGAGGTGCAGAACGTAAGGCGACAGGTAGGTGCCACCACCGTGTGGTCTTAGGAAAGCGTTGTAAACACTTGTCTTTTCGTGCATAGCGTTACATTGTCAGCGCAGCGTGATAAACAATACGTTCCTTAGAATTACTTATGCATGCTTTCTCTAGTATGAAGAGGCGCACCACAGAATATTGATGTGTTTATATTGTGCATCAGAAATGCGCACTGTGTGCTTTTTAGTCAACAATCACACAAGTACGAACGCTGAAACATTGTCAATATTGTTGGGCGCTGTGGATGGGGTGGAATTTTGGCCGTTTCAAGTATTGTTTCGGGGGCAAACAGATAAGTACACAAACAGACAGACAGACAGACAGATAGAGAGAATTTTATTGAGGTCCTGAGGAACACTACGTCAAAGAGCTAAAGCATCGGCCGCTCCCACGTCGGAACGGGTAGGTCGAGCCTCACCGCCGCGTCGTGAGCCCTCTGGACAGCCCAGAGATGATTTGCAAGTTTTGAGTGCAGAGTTCTATTCTCCTTCGGTCGTGTGCTGAAAATAGGGTAAAGAGGGGCACTGCCAGAGCATGTGGTCTAACGTAGATACGGCGCCACAATCTGGGCATGTTGGAATAATGCCTTCAATAAACTGGCTGTGGGAACGAATACTGGGTAGGACCTGGTTTGAAGCATGCGGAGGGTAGATTCCTGGGTCCTACAAAGTTTCATATGAGGAAAGGGGAAGACCCATCTGTCTAGTAGATAATGTTTAGTCCCTTCGTTGAAAGTGAGGAGAACATCCCTAAGTATTATTAGGTTGGAGTCTGAAGGTCCCCCAGGCTGCCCGGAACGGTGGGTAAGTTCGTGTGCTCGGGCGTGGGCGATCTCGCTTAGGTTTGCAATGGAGGCCAGATGTGATCAGAGGTGAGCCAGAAACCAAACTATGAAGTGTTCAGAAATATTTCTATGGCCTAAGATGCGAAATACTTCAGCCGATACCGATCCAGATACAAAAGCTCGCACCGCCACTCATGAGTCTGTGTAAATATGCTGCCGGGAGTCGTCAAGGAAAGTGAGAACTACGGCTACCTGTCCAGCTTTAGCGGGAGGGGTGTTCCTGAAAGACGCGGACTAAATAACGCAACCTGTGTGGTCAAGTGCAATGAGAGAGAAGTTAGCTGTTCGACCGTACTGCACCTAGTCTACGAAAGATGCAGACTCCGGCTTTGCACGAACACTCCTGAACAGTGCTTCACTTCTGGCCTTCCACCTGTTCTCGTTGTTCTGCGGGTGTACATAGCGGGGGAATGGAGTGACCATAGTGTTAATCCTTTGCTTCTTAGGTAAAGAGTGACTGCGTTCCTCTTCTACCGCACTATACCCTAGGATTGTCAGGATGCTCCTGCCTGTGGCCGAAGAGGAGAGTCTGGCCAGCTGTGCAATATGCTGTGCCTCGATGATCTCTTCCATCGTATTGTGTATACCCAACTGCATGAGGTGCTTCATATTAGTACCTGAGGGGACCCCTAGCACTCTTTTGATGCTCTTGCGAATCATGTGATTAATCTTAACTTTTTCGTGACTTTGCCACCAGGGCATGGCAGCAACGTACGTAACGTGGCTCATTAGGAAAGCGTGGAGTAGCCTTAGTAAATTGTCTTTTTCAAGCCACCTCCAGAGTTGGAGACCCTAAGTATAAGTAGAATTGTGCTTGCCGTTTTAGCTTTTTTTTTTGCGTTGAAATATCTAAAGAAGCACTATCGTTTTCGAAAATGCCACCCGCACCTTCTCACGGGGGGAACTTGTGCAAATGAGTCGCAAAGTGGTAGGGGTATCGAGTGAATGTCGCGTAACTGGGTGTGGTTTGGGATTGCTTAGTTATTTCGTCTTTGTTGTTCCTATTTATTGAGTGTATGAAAAGCACTGCCTTCAACGTCAAGTGAAAGTGAATTAAAGACCCCCTTGACTCAATTCTGAAGGCGCGATAGAGTGTCTACGCTGCCTGCGTCGGCCTTGCGAGGCGAGAGAGGAAAAGGGGAACCACAGTTTTGCGGGTGTCTTCCAGGGCCGGCAAGGGACGTGAGCATGCTGGCCTCGGGACGAGGCGCGAGCAGACGCCATGATACGTGAAAATGCGCAGTGCGAGTAGGGACGGTGCCACGCCGACGTCAAAGCGCGATATTGTGCGACGAAGAAAACCTCCGCGTTCAAAAACATAGTTGATCCCTCTGTCATTGGAATCGGCAAAGCACGAAAGTAAAACGTGTCTTTACAAAAGTATTTTAATTTTACTGTACTTTTATATGAGAGAGCTTGCACTATTTCTGTCGGTGTTTGACAGCCATAGCCCTGCTTAACGTGGATGAATCCACGCTGACGCTCTTGGTGTCATTGCTCGAAAGATTAGGAGTGCCCGACGAGCTCTGCACCCAGGACAGCCGATGATCGATGCGAAGCCCGGGATAGGTCACCATGCTCTACCACAGAATTGTTTTCCCTCGATGGCTAGACGGGCCACCCTGCTTCGTGTTCTTGGTCTAGGGTGCACAAAAAGTGCCTTCGTTTTGGCTTGCGATACAGCCAGACCGAAGATGCGGCATGGCCAACCACCACATTCAGTGCACTCTGCAAGCAGGACTGAACAGTTTGCAGATTCCTGGTAGGGCCACAATTCCAAAAGCCAACGACTTCGGCGTATATGGAACAGTACCTGGTTGCTCTGTCTGGAACAAATGACTGCTGGCAGACGTGCCAAGGCGATGGTAAATAATAAAGGGCTCAGTACAGAACCACGTCGCACCCCTGCCGATACCGGTTAAAGAGAGCTGAAC